TTTGATATGATTGAGGGGAATGTTTAAAAGTTATGTTTAGGTTTAATTTGTATAAAGCAGTTCACCTTTTTGCATTGCTGAATTTCATGAATATATGCTGTGGACCATGTTAAAAAGGTGTTGTAACTCACTTTGTTTGACACCTACCTAATATAGAAATTAATTATTCTAGTTGCTGGTGGTCTTATTTGCTTTTGTAGCTCACATGGAGGCATTAGTATAAATAAAGTTATGTGTAGTTTGTTCCAGTAATAACTTATGAAGTGTGTTGGAAGTACGTGTTTTTACATGTTTGCTGCATTTGCATGAATGAGTAAGCAAATTGCACATTTCTTGTTTTTGTAAAAAATCTTTACACGGTGCTGTATTGAGCTTGTTGGTCATTTGGCCACTGAGCTTTGTTGATCATTGTTCTTTTCCAGTCAATGGCTTTCAGCAATCCATCATGTAATGTGTTTCTAGTTGGAAATGTTGACCTAAGCAACAAAAGATATAAAGAAATATACAGCATTGCAGTGTAAAAGTAGAGAAATAAATAAAGATTGTTCCACCAAAGCCAGCTGTAGAATTGTGCTACTCTAATATTGGCTCACTCCCTCCGGCAAAAGTGCTGATCTTTTTCTTCCCTTTAACTTTTTGGTGAATTCCCATGCGACATAATTATGGATGCCGTTCTTATGTAAAATATAGCTGCAGTAGAAACAATGTAAAGGTTTTATAAGCTGTTTTTATATAGGGAAATATGATGAAAAGCCCCAATCCAATATATTTAATCCTCGAGGTCATCAAAGTCAGCAAATAACAAAAAATAAGTTAAAGTAAGCTAGGATTTAAACAAAATGCAAAATAATATAAAAGCATTAAAACAGGGGATTACATCAGACAAAGATTACAGTGATTGTTACCTGAGGACTGCGCTGTTGCCATGTATAAATTCACAGAGGCTTGTGTGTGGGACAGTACCGTTGCTATAATGAAAACATCACTAAAGTTAATCTTATTTTTAAGATACTTGTTTTAATTTTCAATCTGTGTTTTAACTAATTACATAATTAATAATAATATTTCTATCATTATTATTATTGCGACGTGTGCTGCTGACCTCTTGGCTAGGTCACCCTTGTAAAAGAGATCTCGGTCTCAATGGGTTTTTATATAGTTAAATAAAGGGTAAATAAATTAAGAAAATTACATCTTTTTTTCCTCTTCAATGTATGTGTGTCAATACCAAAATGATGGTTTTATTCTACTTTCAGGTTATTCGAAAAAGTTAAAGTTTTATTGCTTTGAATGTGTGAATACTTGAGCCTGTTTGTAATATGGGAGGTTATTTTGTATTGTGCACTTGGAGTTGCATTGTTATGCATAAAAAGTGCTGCACATATGGAGTGTAGTCGATTTTGTCTCTCTCTCTCTTTCTCTCTCTCTCTCTCAAACATGTTTTATATTCTACTTTCTTTAAAATAGCCACCATTTGTTCTTGATGACAGAGGTACTTAATGACTGACTCTGTCAGTCACGAAGTAACCCTGATAAGGCACACCTGTGAAGTTAAAACCATTTCAGGTGACTACCTCATGAAGCTCATTGAGAGAAATTTTGCAGCGTTATCAAAAAAGCAAAGGGTGCGACTTTGAGGAATTTAAAATATAATACATGTTATCAGTTATTTCACACTTTTTTTGAAGCTCATGATTCCACATGTGTTTATTCATAGTTTTGGTGCCTTCACTGAGAATCTACAATTTAAATAGTAATGAGAACAAAGAAAATGCATTGAATGAGAAGGTGTGTCGAAACTTTTGGCCTGTACTCTATATATATATATATATATATATATATGTGTGTGTGTGTGTGTGTGTGTGTTATGCAGGTTAATGATTATAGGGATGATTGAGGAACAGGGTTTGCTTTATTTGCAAGAGCAGCCTTGTTTGGTGTGAAAGCATTGACTAACAAAGGAAAATGCAGTCCATCCTATGTCAAATGGCATAGTGTCCCATGTCCTTGAGGCTATAACAGCAAAGATCTAAACACTCAAAGGCATCTAGAAAAGACCAGCACAGCCTCCTCAATGATCTAAGGAGACCACAGCGCATCCAGAGTCAATAAATCAATAATATCATCAGGAGTAGGTTATCTAATTCTTTGCAAGTAATCAGCAGAGGTTTAAAATGAACCTGGAACTTAACAGTGTAAGTCGGCACAAGGCTCAGGTGTGCTTTATATGTCTTGGTCACTGTAACAGGAGAAGTTTCAAAGTCTGAAATTAACGTGGTGGAGGGGTTTGCGTGTCTCATTGATCCCAGGAGCTAAGTTGTCGGGGGGCTTATTGCCTCTGTTAGGGTCACCTATGGCAAACAGGTTTTGGGGGAGGGATCAGACTAAGGGTAGCCCAAATAGAAACCTAATGAAGAATACAATATTTGATAATGTGTTTCCCTCGCCAGTACACGGGTCACCAGGGCCTCCCCTGGAACAATTCATTATTTGCATAATTCCATTCTGTAGATGTTTTGTTTTTGTTTTTTTTCAAATGTAAACAACTTCATTTACAACATATCACAAACATTACAGTATTGAAACGGGGCTCGAGGTATGTTATAATCACAACGAATTGCAATTAAATGAAACGAATGTTGACAGTACAATTACAATAGGTGAAGAGTAAAACAAGATTGTAAATCCAGTTCATCACATTGGCAGAATTGCATTCCCTTGAGCTTCCTTGGGATTGGTGTTCAAAGATTCAATTGACACTCTGTAATGTCATTGACAAAAAATGGCTGCCCAGCTTCAGTGGACTACCCAACCCAACATTTATTTATTTATTTATTTATTTTAAACAAATTTTATTGACATTTTAAACATTACAATAAATTATGGTGACATATGATGCTTTGAAAATAAACCTGTAGAAAAAAAAAAAAATAATATATATATATATATATATATATATATATATATATATATATATATATATATGTGTGTGTGTGTATGTGTATATATGTGTATATACAGTATGTATGTATGTGTGTGTGTGTGTGTGTGTGTATATATGTATATATATGTATGTGTGTGTGTGTGTATATATATGTATATATATATGTGTGTGTGTGTGTGTGTATATATATAATTGGAGTAGTAGCATTCCAACAGAGCCTTGTTCTCATCTTGCGTCCATTGCCTTTTCTTTTTTTGTTCCAGTAGCCCATTTGTCATCACACTGCCTTAGTTCCTCAGCATGTGACGTAGAGCTTGTTAACCTGGGTGACGTCTGAGCCGGTTTGGCTTTCAAGGGTCTTGCCTGAGGAGCCACACTGGTAGATGTAGTTCGCCCCTTGCAGATATATATATATTGCAGGTTAATGATTATAGGGATGATTGAGGAACAGGGTTTGCTTTATTTGCAAGAGCAGCCTTGTTTGGTGTGAAAGCATTGACTAACAAAGGAAAATTCTCAAAAGACTGCTGCCAATATTTTTTATTGCAATAATTTTAAGGAGCTCACTAGTGCAATAGGAATGGCATTTGCTTGACGGCATTTCTCATCAAATGTACACCATGTACACCAACGGGTTCGGGTACTACCACCACGACAGGCACTGACCACCTTAGAGGGGGCTGTTCCTCCCAATCATGCCCCTCCAGGTTTCACTTTCACTTCCAACATGGCTGCTGAAGTCCCCCAGCAGGACGAGGGAGTCCAGAGTCCAACCCCTCTCTAGGGGTTGGACTAGGGGTACTTGTTTATAAAGCTCTTAATGGTCTGGCACCCTCCTACCTAGTTGACTGTCTACCCAGATATGTCCCAAACCGCTCCCTTAGGTCATCCAGTGCTGACCTGCTTGAAGTACCCAAAATGGCATACAAAAATCACGGAGAAGCAGCATTCTGCTTCTATGGGCCGACAGCATGGAACAAACTCCCAGTCTCCATAAGACAGGCAACCTCTGTTGATAACTTTAAAACACATCTTAAGACCTATTTCTTCACCCTTGCTTTTATTTGATCATGTCCGCACTATTTGCTATTATTATGATGTTGTTTTATGCTTCTGTATTTATTGTCTGCTTATTTTTATTTATTTTACATTTTTTTGAATTGCTAATTTTATTGTTTTTATTGTCAATTTTATTGTTTTATTGCCAATCATCTACCCTGTCTGTAAAGCACTTGTGCTTTGTTTTTAACCTGTAAAGCACTTTGAGCTGCATCTCATGTCATGAAAGGTGCTATACAAATAAAGTTTATTATTATTATTATTATTATTATTAGAGGGCTGGTTTCAGAGCCCACGCTACGTGTGGAGGTGAGTCCAACTATATCTAGTCAGAACTTCTCCGGGTCGCACACCAGCCCAGGCTCCTTCCCCGCAAGAGAGGTGGCATTCCACGTCGCTGGTGCTAGTGTCTGCAGCCTGCACTCTACTCCTTTGGCCCCTCCTATGAGTGGTCAGCCCATGGGCAGGAGGTCCCACGTTGCCTCGTCTCCCCGGCTGGGCCCCAGGTGTGCAGGCCCGGCCACCAGGCGCTATCCATTGAGCCCCACTCCCAGGCCTAGCTCCAGGGGAGGCCCTGGTGACCCGTACTAGCGAGGGAAACACATTATCAAATATTATATTCTTCATTAGGTTTCTATTTGGACTACCCTTAGTCTGATCTCTCCTCCAGAAACTGTTTGCCATGGGTGACCGTAACGGAGGCATTAAGCCCCCTGACAACTTAGCTCCTGGGATCAATGAGACACGCAAACCCCTCCACCACGTTAAGGTGGTAGCCCGAGGAGGGGATATTTTTATTTTTTATTTTGTGTTATTTGTGTGGGGAAACCGGAGCTCCCGGAGAAAACCACACAGACATAGAGAAACATGTTAAGTCCTGACAGACAGAAAGCAGCAGCTTCAGTCTGTCAGGACCTGACATGTTCTTCTGTGCCTACTTGTTGGCCAGTGATGGCCTGTGTGTGTGTGTGTGTGTGTGTGTGTGTGTGTGTTTGTTTTAGGGTGAGGTTGGAGTTTTCATCTCCTGGTCCGACATCCGCTGCTTGTACTGGCGCCGATGTTTAGGAGTCAATCCCTTTTTAACTCTCCTCCACCAGGAAATCTGAGGTGTTTCCTCAAAGGTCTCGGGTGTTGCTCCAGAGATCTCCTCCATCTCGGGTGTTTCCTCGATGGTCTCGTTTTCTGTTGTCAGGTCTTCAGTCAGCTTCATCTCATTACTGTTTTTGTCCAGAAGCTGATGCCTGACGTCCTCCATTTGTGTCATGTGGTCGTCAGCCATCTGCTCCTTTTCCTGCAGCAGAATGATTTGGGAAGCTTCCTTATCAAGGCCCTCTTGAATCGTGGTGAGATCATTTTCTGCAGTCTTTGTTCTTCTCATGATCGCCTCCTGCAACTCCCACACAGTCTGTTTCAGAAACTCGTTTTCTGTAGTCACCTTTTCAATCAGCTTCATCTCTTTTCTTCTTTTGTCCAGAACTTCCTTCAGTTGTTTCGTGAGGGCGTCAGTCATCCGGTACTTGTCATGCAGCACAATACTTTGGTTAACTACCATTTCATGGCTCGTTTGAATCTTGGCGAGATAAATTTTTTCCGTCTTTGCTCTGTTCTTGGTCTCCTCCCTCAGCCTCCTCACAGTCTGCTCCAGGACAAGTTTCTCAGCCTCTGACTGGTTAGCCTGCTTCAGGTTCTGTTTTTCAATCTTCTGAAGGGAAGACCTGAGTTCTTCTTGTTCACTCCTGAGGGTTTTAGTCTTGTTTTTTTCAGCCTGTAGCTCAGTTTTGAACAATTCCACAAGTTGTTGGAGCTCTTCTACCTTCTCGGTTTTATCTGAATCCTCCTTTCTCTGTCTCTCTTCCCTTTCAGCCTCTGTCTTCTGCTCCTGGGCAAGTTTTTCTGCCTCCAACTGTGTCAAGTTGTTGTTTACAATTTGAAGCCGAGACCTTAAATCTTCCCCCTCTCTCTTGAGATTTTCGGCCCTGTTTTTCTCGGCCTGCAGCTGAGTCTTTAAAGATGTCACAAGTTCTTGGAGCTCTTGATTAACCCCAGTATCACTTGTTTCATCCTCTGCTCTTCTTGAAATACCATCCTCCTGCAGTTCCTTCACTTTCTGCTCCAGGGCAAGCTTCTCTGCCTCAAGCTCCTCAAGCTGCTCAACCTGCTTGCCATACTGCTGGTCTGCAAACTCGAGTCTTAGGCACAAGTCCTGCCAATCATTCTGGAGGGCTAGGTTCCAGTATCTTTCAGTCTCCAATTGAGCATTGAGGGACTGAAGACAGTAATGGAGCTCCTGTGCCTTCACGGTAATGATTGAAGTCTCCTCTGCTCTTCTTGAGACTTCTTCCTGCAGGTATTTTACCTGCTGCTCCAGAGCAACTTTCATGCACTGCATTGTGGCTTGTAAATGAACAGTGAAAAAAATCTCTCAAGTCTTCTGGACTGGTCTCTCTGTATCCAGAGAGCTTCTACAGAGACAATCCAGTCTCTGTATACGCTCTTTGTTTGCGGTCACTGTAAAGGTTCTCAGTAGATGCTCTCTGTAGATTGTGTGGTCTCAGATCAAACCTCTGGAATAACAATCTGTGACTTGAGTCCTCATCTGGAGAGCTTTGATGTTGATGATGTCATTCTGGAGAGCTTTGATGTTGATGATGTCATTCTGGAGAGCTTTGATGTTGATGATGTCATTCTGACATCACCATGCTAGTCTGACATCACACATAATCATTTGCATAATTCCATTCCGTTTTTTTTTTGTTTTTTTTCAAATGTAAACAACTTCATTTAAAACATATCACAAACATTACAGTATAAAAAACGGGGCTCGAGGTATGTTATAATCACAACGAATTGCAATTAATTGAAACGAATGTTGACAGAACAGTTACAATAGGTGAAGAGTAAAACAAGATTGTAAATCCAGTTCATCACATTGGCATAATTGAATTCCCTTGAGCTTCCTTGGGATTGGTTCTCAAAGATTCAATTGACACTCTGTAATGTCATTGACAAAAAATGGCTGCCCAGCTTCAGTGGACTACCCAACATTTATTTATTTATTTATTTATTTTTAACAAATCTTATTGACATTTTAAACATTACAATAAATTATGGTGACATATGATGATTTAACAATAATCCTGTAAAATATATATATATATATATGTATGTATATATATATATATATGTGTGTGTGTGTGTGTGTGTGTATATATGTGTGTATATATATATGTGTGTGTATATGTATATACATATGTGTATATTTATATATAGATACATACATGTGTATATATATATGTATATACATATGTATATAACAGTGTTTTTGGTAATAATATATACTAATCATTATAGATTTATCGGGGTCCCCTGATTTCACGTGAACCCTGTTACCTTAACAAAAAAACCCTAAAAAAATAATAGTACATTCTAGATTTGACATGTTTTGACAGGTGGTTGCATCTTCTCTGTGCCAGGATGCTAACAGCTCAGTGACAATCAAGATTGTCTCATCTCTGATGTGCTATTTTTGATGTTTTTTCAAGGTTTAACCAGGGGGGCAAGCATACAATGTCAACCCTGTTACCACTTTTTAACATATAAACCTAAATAATTTTCTATTTCTCAAAATATTATCAATATCTCCAAGTAATTACCAAGCTTGCACTTTAGCTAGCACTTATTTAAGCTAGCCACAGGCAGAGTATCTTAAAATTGTCAACCCTGTTACCTTGCCACAGTAACAGGATTTGACATGTGAGTAACAGGGATGACATAGAATAGTGTTTACCCTTATTGTACTCTCTCTAAAGGTTAAACTTTTAAAATTAAAACATTTTAGGTCATCAAGTGAACATTATTGAGCTAATAATTATTTTTAGTTTGGGCCATTTTTCAACATTTCTCTTCCAAAAAATATCTGATGTATTTTGAGACCTGATGGCCATGCAAAATTAGGGTATATTTGATCATCTGAATGACAAATATCTAGTTGGAGAAAAAAATCCACAAATAAAATAATCTCAATGGAAAGAGAGACTAAAGTACTGCTAATATATGTACATATATTACATATTCTTTTATTTAGAAATATTGTATTTTGTTAAGTTTATGTTGCTAACAGGGTTGACAAGATTATGAAAACAGCCAGGAGAAAAACAGTTATAAATTATGAAATAACACAGCCTTTGAACATTCTTTGATTCCTGGGTACATTAATTTACAATTAAACATAGTTTAAATTGTAAATTTTCTAAGCTGAGAAGGCACCGATTTCATGGAATGACCGATGTGCTGTCTTTTTTAATAAGAAGTACTCTGCAGGAAAAACTCTGCCACATCCACAATTATAGAGCTGTTTGTGTGTAAATACAGCAATAAAGGTCAAAACCTCCCCTGCTACAGACCCACAATTAGAACCAGCCCTGAATCCTGATCTCTCTTAAGGACCTTGGTGGTTCGACTCCGACCCCCCCGCCCCCATGTTTCCCACCAGTTAAGTGTCATGCTGGGAGAATGTAAGTGGGAGGCTGATTGAATGGGATGCTCTGACACACACACAGAGTGAAAGTGTCAGTCCGGGAGTAATGCTGACACATGTGCGAGATCCTTTCTTCTTCTTCTTCTGCTGGGGTGTATTCGCTGACACATCCTGTACATGAGTCATGCGTTGCCTGGTAGTTACTTTATGCAGTTTAGCACATGCCCCAGTGTTATTAGATGTGAAATCTATTCAATATTTAAAAGGCCTCTGAAGCAATCCTGGATCTAGCTGACAAATATGTTAGTGATGAATAATTTAGAGGGAACAATTTACAAAGGCTAGCAGCAGCAAAGGTTATGGTGCTGCCTTTTTCAGTGGCATCTCTGTGATATTAGAGCTGGAGGATGTGCATGGGTGCATGTATGATGCTGTGTGTGCACATGCTTTTAGATTTATGCCTGTATGTGCCTGTGGGCAAGAAAAATGTTTCATGTGGCACCAAGGGCATGAAGACAATCCTGTTCCTGTTGGCTGTGAAGGCAATTCCATAATGTGTCCGTGCTATGCAACAGTGATTTGCTGTTTTTGTCTCTATATAAATATGGATGAAAGCTGGAATAGGTGCTGCTTTGTTATCAAGAAAGCCGGTGTTATATTTTTGCATTTTTATGAAGTTGAATGAAGACTGTCCAAACTGTGTAATCATTGTTTTTTTATGCAGCAATGATGCAGCCAAACATTTTTCAAGGTGAAATGCATATTGCAAAATGTTGTTCCTCTCAGCAGGAGAAGAAGCTGCGCCAGGGAGACAGTTGCTTACCTGTAAAATTTATATTTGTCTCATTACACGCCAAGATCCCCAGCTTGTAAAGGTTTCCTGTAAAACAATCCCAATGATGGAGAAAGACATGGGCCAGCAGATTTATAAGAGACAAAGACAGGAACAAGGTGGAGAAAGAGAGAGAGAGAGAGAGATTCTCATATCCATTTTTCATGTCATTGATTTAATTCACACGTGGAAGTGGAGGCTAAACAGTATTTCATCAGAGCGATTAAAACTCAAGAGGAAGATCGAGCCCCCGTGTCTCAGATTGTTGTTGCATATTCATTCGGTTTCATGTCGAAGGAATAATTACACATTGATTATCCATGACCAACACCGAGGGCCAATCGTTACCATGTGTGAAGAGGAGCATCTTTGAAGCCCACTAGTGTCTGCCGACCCTCAAAGACAATTACATCCTTATCAGAGGGACAAAAAACGTCTCGTGATGTATTATGTCAAAGATGGTAATAATGGTTTTCTGATAATTACTTAGTGATCTGTCCCTTTGTGCCTATTAAAATATGGTAGTAACATGAGATAAAACATATGTTTGCCTTTATTGTGGTGTAGTAGAAAAAAGGGGTCATTGACCTAATTAATTTTGAGGAAAGAAAAGTTAAAAAAAAAAAAAAAAGAAAGAATCAAAGTGAATAATGTGTGAGAGAGACTAAAGCTGTATTTATTGTTCTCAATGCCCTGAATATATATTCCACCATCTTTTAGGCAAGGTGACCTATTTAGTAATGCAAACAGTGCCCTGATATAAAATGCAAACTTCTGACACTGGTCACACTTCAGGCACTTGCAATTAAAAAGTTGTTTATCACAGCTCCCAGTCATTGTATTGAAAAGCATAGCAATGAGCTGTGGAGCTTTAATCAGACTTGGGCAGCGCTAAGAATGAAACTATCTGGGGTGAAAGATGATAGCCACTGCAGCTTTTGACTATTAGCTTTATGACACACACTGAATAATTAGGAGGTTTTGCTAATTACTCTGAAACGGTTTATCCCATCAGTGATATAGGAGAGAATTCACCTCTGAACTTATTTAGAGCTATCAACAAAGAATGTGTTGTGTTTGCGCAAGCGAGCCGGTAATGGGGACCAACTGGAGAAAATAAGAGATGCAGTAGTTAAGGGGTCAATGAGGCAAAGACTTAATATGGTGACTCTGTAAAGATAGCTTAATGATTTGGAGTTAATCGTCATTAGAGGCTAAGCTATGATATGTTTGAACATTTAGAGGGTTTGGCACATTTATTGTACTTTTAAGTGTAGATAGAAGAGGACTAGAGCTTAATTTGGAGAACTGTGCCTGTTGATTTAGAAGAGTCAGATGAGTGGAGTGATATCATGCTATAAAGTAGGAAGCTATTGCCAACAGTGGGTTAGCTCAGTTAATAGTGAGCCTAAAGGTCTCTTCAGGACATAAAGTCAGGTAACTGCCTTTTTTTACAACTTATTTAATGTACTCAACCACGGGTGTAATTTGTGGGGGGGGGGACACGGGGGACATGTCAAGCCGAAAACTGGTTTCCCTTGGTTTGGACCACCCACAAGGTCCTTGATTGACTCTGCCGCAGGGCCGCTTTTTGTGTGTGATTAGCTTTCCCTGCTGTCAGTCATTCCATGCCCACCAGACTAATGTTTTGCAAGTTGCTCATAACAGTCAATCCGTGAACACCGCCATTTGTTGATGTAAGTTTACAGGAGGGCGGCGTTCTTTTTCCCTCTGTAACGTCACATACATCGGTGGTTTTATTTACATCCCTGTATCGGGTTTGTACTTCCATCCACCATAGACTGTGAATAGAATGGACGCCGTCTGCCGTCTAGAATGAAGCCACTCCGAGAACAGCACCCTCTGGTGACGGGCTGCAGTATAGGTCATAAATCCCGCCTCCTCCATCAAAGCTTATGGAGCTGTGGACAAACTTTAGAAATTTGTTACACAGAATATAAATTTTTCTCCGCCCTGCTTGCAATGTTGACATGTAGTTATTGTAAGACTGATTTGTGCTCAAGTCCTCTTTTTTTCTGTACAGCTCCATTTTTAAAAGTTAAGTTTTTTATGATTGACA